AAAATGAAGAGTTCCGAAATAAGGTATATTTCCCAGTAATGAGAACGTGAAATGAATAGTGAAATCAAGTCCAAGTTTTGCTGTATATTTATTGTCAAAATGAGGTTTTAGACAGAGTCCCATTGTCTGCTGTACAATTTCTGCCAGCTAAGGATGGGGATAATAACTGATAAATTTTTCACGGCATTTCATTAGATGAAGAAATCAATGATTATTCATTTCTCCTCAAAGCTGGGTATCTGCCGTCAAGAACAGAAGACCTGCCCAAAACAAGACTTGCTTCTTGTGCTAAATGCTCAACTTTGTAGCTAGGCAAATAGGTTACAGCTAAGTCAGTAGCGCGGTAGCAGCTTTTTCTTACCTTCTGATTCTTGTGACTGTCATAAGATGAAGAAAACCATTAGCAGCTGCACAGTGCTATTCAACAGTTTAATTGTGTGTGGAGCGGCACTGAGTCTGCTGAATTAGTTCACAGAGAGCTGATAATAAATGAGGGAAGGGAGACTGGCTCCTGACTGAATAGTTTTTTGCTGTGGCCCATGTTTTTAATCCACAAGAATAGGAGGTTGCTGGCTTTAGTTACACTTCCAGTAGATGAATTACACACTTGGTGGCAGCTCTCATTTGACATGTAGTGATCGATACTTCTCTGTTTACTCTCAAATGGGTGTAATAGCAGAGAGCTACCTGAAGGTCCAGAGAAGAAAAAAAGTCTGTCATCTTAGACGAACCTTACATGCGTACAGTGCTGAGAAGCTCCCGCTGTATAACATTTTAGTGAATTCTTATTTTTCTGCTGATTTCCTGGATGCAAACTGCTTGCGGACCTTTTAGCGCAGTCACGGGGTTCTGCAGCTTTTCCGGCTCCATGAGCTTGGGAGAAACCTCAGCCTCTGGGGCAAGCAGGGGAAATTTTAGGAGAGCCCCATGGCACTGCCCACGTCCTAGGGACATCAGAGCACAGTGTCGGATCTGGCACCCTTGGGAAGAGCATGGTGGTGGGCAGGACAGAGGCCTCCATGAGTGCAAAACCCACCACAGTTACATCAGCTTGTTCCTCATCCTTGAGTGGGTCATTACAAGTGTATCTCGATCTGTGCCCATGCCTGTACGCTTACCTACGTGCGGCAGATGAATGTTTTTGTAAACGCATTTTACAGTCACTGTTGAATGCTTGGGTCCCTCCCAAGACTCTTGCAAACAGTATCAAATTCTTAGAAACCCATCATCTGACATTTTTCTTTTGGAATATTTGTTAGTATACAACAGTACAGACTTACTCAAAGTGTTAGGAGGAGCAGCAGCAGCAGTAGATAACTATTACTAGTGTGCAGTCTTACTGTTTTTAAAGCACCAGAGTAATTAACTATTTTCATCCTCGTTTGATTGCAATTATACTCAAATATAAACATCACTTAATGAACTTTGCAACAAGTAAAGGCTGTACCACTATTATGTAGGGCAGTTCCATATCTACATGGCGACATTCTTCCTGCATTAGCATAATTCAATTTAAAGTAATATTGGCTGTAGAAGGAGTTTGTTTTATTGCACCTCTCAAACGAATGTGTGTCAGGGAATATAAGAGAGTGGAAAAAGTCTGTCTGGAAGTAGGCAGCGTGCTGTGGTGTATTGCGTTTCGCTGACATGAGAGGAATGTGGCGTTGAGGTCTACAGTTGCCTGCTGAAGGCACTAGCACGCAGGCTGGAAAGCAGCTTGCCATGTGCCTTTTGCTTCGTTAAGCAAAAGGCTTTCTGCCTGTGGCATGAGGTGGTGTAAAACACAGTGGAAGTGTTATAGTGTGTGTGGTGTTAGACAGGATTGCCAATCTCAAACATCTGAAATCACAAGTCAGATATTCCAACATAAAATCTGCCTAGAAATTAGGGCTATGTTTTTATAAACTCTTTATTTCCGTTTTACTTCTTCGGATTCATTTATTTTTAAGTGAAAGCCGAGATCTTCACTGAAAGTTGAGATCCTCACCTGACTACAGGGCTCTAAGAGAAACACCAAATTTCAAAAAAACTTGCAAAAAAGGTGATAAAAGTGCTTAACGGTGAGTCAGGCATCTTCTGTAGCAGCTGTGTGATTGTATAAGCTTTGTCATTGTAAACAGGATCTAAAAACCAGGGATGCAAGATGCAGCCCAAGCTCCTGGCACTTGCAGTTTAGTTGAGGCTCGCTTGCCTTTAACAAACGTCACTAACCATGCTGGCTCACGTTATTGAGCAGCCAGCCAAAAAAAAAAATAAAATTAATAAACAGCCACCACAGTCTAGAAAGCCTGTGTTGTGTGTGGGAGCCACGGTGAGGCAGTTCGTAGACCCTGCAGCCAGCGTTACCTACAGCTGGTCCACATCTGGTGTAACTTCTGCAGCCTCCCAGAGTTTTACCCTGTGCATCTTGGGGTCGGTAGCGGGACTCCTGTTCACAAGAGCAAGCAGGTAATGCTGTGGGGTGCATTGATTTCCATGTGGTGTCTGCGTCTTCCAAAGAAATGTCAATGCTGGCCCTTTCCCTGAAAGGGAAGGTGGAAGGGATGGTGATGTCCGAGTTTTTCTCCTCATTCTGCTGAAGCGGCAGGCTGTAGCTTTAAGATTTTGAACCGCTGCACTGTTAGCAGGTGAGGAAGGTGGAGCGTTCATGTTTCCAGGCGCTTTTGCAGCACTGGAAAAGCAATGCCAGGCACAGGCATAGGCGCGAGCCTTTTTAGGATGCCGTGTTCATTGTTCCTACTGACCTAGGCTTCAGTCCCAAAGAAGACAAACTGCAAAGCCCACACTTTGGAAAAAATAAGATCCAAGAATTTGATTAATTGTATAGCATTTTTAATGTAAAACTCAAGTTTGCTGGTGTGATAAGTGGGTGCTCCTGTACATGGGTTAGACAGCTGGTAGGTGCGCTGTAAATCTGCTTCTGTTCTATCTGCCTGTCTTGAACTCAGTTGAGATCTTTTTCTGCTGTGCAACCCTCGAAGAAACAACAATTCTTGAAATAACATTTCAGCACCGTAAACACTTCTCAGTTGACGCTCTGGCATTTGGTGTTGGCAGCTCAGCCTGCCTCTCCAGCATGCGTGTCACCATTCAGCCAGTCCTCCTTTCCTGCACAGCTCGGTCAGATGAAAATCACCTTTCTCTCAAGAGCGTTCCAAGCGGCTGTTTAACATGGCTAAGCCTCAGGTACTCTGTCATGCAAATACAAATTTGCTCTTAGGTCAACATTTGTAGCATCATTTTCATTGTTTTTAAGAATCCTATTAGTTAGAGAGGAATGATAAATAATCCAGTGGTCTTGGAACCACATCGTTCTGGCTCAGGGAGCTCTTACCACTACAGATGACATTTTAGGTCTTGGAGGTGTATGGGATGCACTTCTGTACTCTTGGATCTAGCAGTTCACCTAACGGTTCAATGTAATTGAAGCCCACTGAAGTCTGCAGGAGATATCACTCAGTTTGTAAGTAATTCCTCCACCTCCAGTGGAAACATTTCTAGTCAGAAGCAATGCCTTGAGATGTTTTACTACAGTCATATTGATTGGGGGAAAAAAATTATACAGATATAAAGAGGTTGTGTGCATTAATTATTTATCTTGCAATCAAGAAAGTATAAAAATAATCCAGGGTGAAAATTGGGAAGGGTTGTAAAGGAAAGCACTGGCTCTTTCAGTTTGAATAATGCAGACCCCACTCAGGCATTCTCCGCGGAACACGAGGTCTAATCCCAGCGCAAGTAAATACATGTTTTTTTTTCTCTAAAACAGATTTAAAAATCATGCAGCTCTTGAGACTAATTGTGCTCACTTAGCTTCAAGTGAATAATCAAACTGTGAGGAGTTGTTATTTTCCTGGCTCCTCTGTAATGTTTCTTACTTATTCGTTCTTAGATACTCAACTTTCAGACTTTTTAGCATCAATCAAGCTCTGCTTCTATTGTCTGAAAAATAAAATAAGTAAAGGAAAAACTGCCACAAATTTAAATACCTTGTATTGTTACAGTATAAATATCGTTGTCTTAATTAAACCACTTGAAAATATGAACCATCCACTTTTTCTCTGAGGGACTCAGCCACCTATGGGATTATTGTGCCTTTGGAAGTCTCCCCAGAGATCCAGTGTGCTTTGCTTCTCCTGATTGTTCTTGAAAGAAAATTAGCTTTTAGTCCTTTAAAATCGGGTTTTATCTGCTACTAAATACACAAATAGTAAGTGCTGTGGGATCAAAACAAAAACAAGTTACTCCTCCCACGCTTATAGTTTTGCTGGGGTCTGCAGTTTGGCAAAAGTCAATACTTTGACTCTTACTGTATTTGGGATCGTGGTGGATTAAGGTAGATCCCTTCGGCCTGGATCAAGAACCTGCAATGTATCTTCAAATCAGAGGAAAGGGTGAACAGAAAAGAGACTGGAAAAGGATGAGAGGAGGCACCTGAGAAGGCAGGTAGCCTGGTCCTGAGTCAGAACTAACTAGTGATACTCGTGTCGCTCCTTTCAGACATTAGCCCAGCGCCCTCCTGAAAGTCTCTGCTAATAGAGGTTCTGTCACCTAATGAGGGTCTGGGCAGATTTTTTTTCCTGTTAGGAATGTTTTCCTGATGGCTGACCTGCTCCACCAGGTGCCTGTGACTTTGTGGGGAGAGTGGGATGATGCCAGGTTGAGAAAGGGGATTGGGAGGGAAGTGCTCAGGCGGTGGGAGGAAGGTCGTGGAGATGAAGGGCCTGGATGGAGAGCCCTGGGAGGATGAGGAGGAGAAGAAAGTGTTACCCATCCGGGCTCCATGTCATCGTGTTTCTCACTACTGATGGCTTGAACTTTCGGATATTTTTGAAATTCTGAAATTTTTGAAATGCTGTAGACAGATATTGAATAAGAGCAAAGTTTGGAATCTAAGCACGACCTGTGTGGTGGAGAAACCTCTGAGTCCCATTTGCAGAACTGAAAAATAGTAATACATTGACCGTAATGACCTTTTCCTGTCTTTTCTGCCCTCACAGATGAACAGGAGCCAGCAGTCAGCAGCGATTCAGATATTTCATTGATTATGGCAATGGAGGTTGGACTGTCCGATGTGGAGCTTTCCACTGATCAAGACTGCGAAGAGGTGAAGTCTTGAAAAACAAACAGAGATCCAACACTAAACTACAGGGGAGGGTCACAGGGAGGGACCGAGTCAGCTTTCTAGGATTTGGACCAGTCATGCACATGCCTCCAGAGCACTGTCACTCCTGCACACTCCATTCTGAGATGGTCACGAAAAGCAATAGCAACAGTTGTGTCTGCCTGGACGCGGTTTCATCATCTACATACGTTCGTTTTGTTCACATGGGAGGTGAATGCTTCCAGTTTACCCACGTGCTTGAGAGCAGTCATGTAACTCCTCGGTGGCTCATAAATACGCAACTGAAATGACAGCTTGAGTGTTTTCTACACTTGTTTGATCGGGGTTTTGTTTCTTTTTTTTTGAAAAGACGTATGTCTGTTATGTTTGTTTGTTTGTTTGTAGTTTGTTATGGAGGGACGCTCTGACCCCAGCTTTTTCAAGGATTCAAGCCAGCAATCTGAATTCCCGTTCACGGGTCACTTCATGATCTGACTCCAGGATTTATCATTGCCTTGTTGTTTGTGTGAAGTACACATGGCTTGGGAAGGATGGTGCACCAGCACCCTGCATTAATGTGAAGCCTGCTCTCGTTAAGTGGGAGCCTTGGGAATGGTGTATTCTGGAGGCCTTTATTTGTAAGAGAGCTCTGAATTAACAGAGATTGCTGAGATTTGGGTTAAAACTGCATTATGTTGGCTTTTACTTAGAGCTCTGTTATATCCAGCGTGAAGGAGAGAAAGAAAAGCTTAAAGCTTCACTCCGTCCTTGTAGTCCTTTGCTATATTTTATGCTATTAGCAGTTGTCAGTACATTATTGGCCTTCCTTCAAGTCACAATTCAGTAGCTGAAAAAGAAGATCTAGTATAACATCATGTCTTTTCCTCATTTTACAGACCAAAATCTGACCAGTAGGCTAAAGGAGTGTCTGAGAGGTTTCCAGAAGCTGCTTGTTAACAGCAGATGATGAGAATATTCTTAGAAAGGGTCTGGGGATGCTGATATCGGTGTCAGAAATTGCTAATGGAGCAGGAGGCAGCTGGTTGAAATGTTTACTTCCTGTTTTGTTTGTGTTTTGGTTTTTTTTCCTTAGTGCGTTTCACTTCTTATGTTTTAAGGGCAGATTTTGCCTGCTTGTTATCCAACACAAGAGTTCAGGTAGTTAGTTGCCCTCCAGAGTCCCTGTCAACGTTGTCACAGGCATAATGGAATACTTGCAATTTGTATATAGATATATATACCAAAATATTTTGGGTAGAGGGGAGGGAATTTGAAAATAAATAGAACTAACATAAATCAAAACACCCAAATAATAATGACCTGTGATGATTATTTAGTTCATCCTGAGCTCTGCTTTCCAGGGAAAAGCTTATCGTTACTCGTTCAGTGTACGATTTCATTTTTCAGTCAAAATGCTCCACTGTGAAGAAGCATTTTTAGCGTTCTGTTATACAAGAGTAAATGCTTTCTGTTGACAGTCAGATGATTTGAATCACATTACTGCCTCCTGAGTAAGTCCATAGAATCAACAATTCATCTTACATCGAAATTTCATGGAGAGGTCAAACATTTTGACTTGATGGTGTCGTGGCAGCATCTCAAAATGCAACTATTAGGGTTCGTGCTATATTTAATCTCCTTGTGGATTTACTCATTAGATGTGGAAACCAACTTCCAGCCAAAATTCAGTTTGTCAGATCTTATTCAGGAGCAAATGTGTTTAGACCTGTCCCTAAAATTTTGGCCAACTTGCTTCTTCAGTACAGGAAGAAGGAAAAATTATACTCTGTGCTTTTCGGTCCAGTTAGAACTCAGTTCATTTTATAGCTTAATTTTTTTTTTTTTTATGTTCTTAGTCCCTAAATTGCAGGGTAACTTTGAGGCAAAGGAGCACAGCCTAATCATCCTTCAAAACCGTGATCCGGAAATGTGCTGTTCCGTTTTTATAAGCCATTTTTAAGGACATCTCTTTAATTAAAGAGATACAGGCAGCTGGAAATCCGCTTGGTTTAAGAAGAAAGTTAGAGATCGTTCCAGAGGGCACAGTGAGGTCAGTCTTGCCAGTATTTGTGGTTCTGTAATCGTTTTTTCCTTATTCTTTAATGTCTTCTTTATTCCTTGCTGCTATGGGAAAGGCCCACAGCGTCAAGGGATCCGATGCTGAAATTCACCCCTACACAAGAGAGTTTGCACAAGGTACTGCATCAGCTCCACTTAAGCTCTGGAAATAATGCTGAACTGGGATTTAAGTGGTGCTTACACCAAATACTGGCCCTTCACAGAGGAATGAAATCGATCTCAAATGACTGCAAGGGATAGAGTGAAGCTGTTTATACGCGGTCAGGTCTCCCTGTGGAAAGTACACACACTGGAACAATTTCTTCTCTAGTGCTGGAGCCTGGGTGCTACATGTCACAGGAACATCATGAACACGATGTCCGAGTTGTCAGTGGTGCTTTAACACCCACCCACTGCAGCCCAGCACACACATGAAAAACTCATGGCCGAACTGTTTGTGTTGCGGAGGAGCTGCCGCAAAGTCTTTGTTTTATTTCACGAACTTGATGAAGTTAATCTCAATGGATAGACTGACCAATTATCTGTTGCCATAGCGGAGTCACCCACAGCGCAGCAGAGCAAGCAAGGTCTGTGGAGAAGCAAGGCGGGAGGTGAAACTCCCAGCAAAACCATTAAGGGAGCTGCGCTCAAAGGGGCATTACATCAGATGGTAACTGAGACCCTGCCCATATTTCTAGGAGTTAGATAAGGACTTTGAAGAGGGATCGTGCTGTGCATGCTCTTTTCTGAAGTATCCCATACTAGATGTGGCCCCTTGGGGTCCACAGGTGGCCACTGGCAGAGGCAGGGTGCTGGGCTGGGTGAAATGTTTTTACGTATCACCATGCTGTGGTCTTTCAGAAGAAGCATCCTAGCAAATCTGGGTCAGGAGTCTTTCTGCTTTTGTTTACCCAGTCCTACCTGCAGTTTCGCTCAGGAAAGATGTTTTTCCGTCCCTGTCCTCAGGTGTTCTACAGCTCTGAGCACCGTTGAGCGATAACGAGTGCAAAGCCAGGTTACGCATCACTGAAGCCAGAACCTAAGAAAGCACTTAAGTAAATGTTTTATTCCGTCCTTCTTCAGAAAAGCACTTAGGACTAATATTGGACTTGCATCAAAGTCACATTGTTTTCAGCAGGTCTTCTATGAGCATAATTAAGCCCCTGTGTCAAATGGAAATGTTTTCCTGCAGCAGCACCTGGCTGACAATATTCTTTGTATATATAACCTGTGAAATGCCTTGGAAATTTAAGGTGCTTCGTAAATACTAAGACCCCCAGATGGATGTTTGTAACACGTATGAAAGCCTTAATTCTGCAGGTCTGCATGCCCGTGCACATTTTTCCTTATGTGAGTCTCCCCACTGAGATTCCTCACAGGGTAAAATTAAACCCCCCGACTTGCAGCTTTGGGCAAGATTAGTCCCATCCCAAACGTTGTGGGCGTCCTCGGTACTTCTGCCCACTAAGCTTAGGCTCCAGCATTAAATACGTGGGATTCCGATGCCGGGGAACGCAGCACTGCCTGTTCAGAAGGAAAAGCAGCCTTTAGCGTACAGCCAGGAGAAAAAAAGAAAAAAACCACAATAAAATCCTCTGGTGCCCTCTGACGAACAAGTGTGTGCTCATGCACATCATTCTGCAGGCTCCCACCGTCACTGCCCACCCACCACGCCGGTGGCCGGGCAGAGGGACACCTCCTGCACGGGGCTGGTGGCCAGAGGACGGTGCAGCTCTCTGGGAAGGGCGCTCTTGTCATTAAGCTGATCTTGTGTCTCTCCATGCTCGTGCTGTCCTGGCTCTTTTCTCTTCATTTCCGTGAGTGAGTAGTGGGTGGGAGAAGCATTCGCTCATCGTCACTTGGGCTGGGTTGCAGGATGAAACTTGGACAGAGAGAGGCCGCGCTCTGAATTTCTTTTGATTTTTTTCATGGGTTTCACTAAACCGCCTTCCCAAAGGTCTGTTCAATAGGTAGGACACATCAAAAAGTTGTATGGGCAGAATTTTGCACTCACAAACGACCTGATGTTTGTGTGCAGATGTGCAAGGCACCAGCTCTGCCTCCCTTCCCCACGGCTGACCCATTCTGGTGGGGATACAGATCTAGCACTTGCCAAGGGTTTGGGTATTTATTTTATTTTATTTTTTTCATTTTCTGCTTTAGAGCCTCAAAACCAGGATCAGGACATTCATAGCACTGCAGTTCATTCTCTAAGCATTTCATAGAATTAAATTGCCATGTGTGCATGTAACAGTACATTGATACAACTATGGAAACTGTATTGTAGTGAAAACAGAAGCAGCTGCCAATTTTAGACTTTTTGTATGAGGGAGATTGTGGCACTAAAGAAAAAGGCTTTATAGAGGCAATTTGAGAAAAAAAATAAATATTGAAATCACATATGATAAGAGGTCCCTCAGATCTCACTGCTTTAATGACCGCTGGATGGGATCCAGAGGAAGTCATTGCAAGAAGGGCAGTGCTTCGTCTCTTGTTGAATGACTCGTTTGGGATACGTACTTACTTCGTTAATAAAATGAACCCAAGCACCAGAGACGTATCCAGCTCTGAATTTAATCTTTCTCAAAGAGTATGTATTTTGTGATCCAAAGTTTTTGTTGTCAAACCTGTTAAACCCCCACCACCCCCCTTTTTTCCCCTTTGCTAAATAAAAAGAAATGCTTCTCCGATTTGAAAAATGTCTGGCTCGGAAGCCCTTTGCATATGGATGGGTCACCCTGGCAGGTATCTGCGGATTGCTTAACACTTCTGTATACTTCTAGTCATCAGTACAACGCAGTTACAGATTTTCCATAAAGTGTGTTTTATTTGCCATTCTTAAACCCGCAGTGCAGTCGTCGTATACGTTTTCCAGATTTTTTTGCCTTACAAACTTTTCCCTCGGAATATATGCCACGGCCCTTTGAGGTTAAAAAACCTTTTCTGTGGTTAAAAGGCAAAGATGGAGACGCAGGTCTTTATACAGAAATTTCTGGACTGCAGGTCCTTGTCGTGACAATTGGCCTGCACTGAAATGACGACAGAGGTTATGCCTGACAGCGGGGAAGTGCCTTTCAGCCCGGGCAGCTGGGAATCTCCCAGGCTTTGGTTGTAGGAGGCTCCTTCCTTCGTGCTCTCTGTCTAGAAGAGTTCATGACTAAGCGTATAGTTTGAAATAAGCCAGGGATGGGAATTTATAGGCTGTGCAAACCAAGAAAACCAATAGTCGTTTATTGATTTCTTTCCATAAGCAAT